TATTATTTCTGAAATGAGTATATTTCTTAAATTAGTTATTAATTATATAATTTTCACAATTTTTGTTGTACGTTTAATTAGCATAATTTTTTTTTTTAGTCAGTTCTATCTGATACACTCTGTATTTACAATAAATAATTTTATTTAAATAAAGGAGAACCTTTATTTAACAATTTTAAAGGTTCTTTAAAAAAAATTTGTGAAACAAAATTTTTGTAGAAAAATTTTTTTTTATATTTTTCTGATATCCTGAATTAATATAGTTATATTAAAATGTTATAGAATATTATTATAAAGGTTATTATAACACACTTTTAAATTTCGTACTACACACAATTTTAGGGACTGGATTTTAAGATTTTAGAATTTTTTTAATGTTTTTATATTTTAAGTGTTTAACATATTTATTTTTATTAATTGGTATTTAAAAGAATTTATAGAAAATATGTTTTTTAAATAATATTTATAAATTTATAATTTATCTGGTGTATTTTTTAGCATATTTTTAATAAACCAAATTCAGATTTAATCATTTTTTATTGCATATAAATCCTAGCCCTAATTATTACTATAATAAGTAATAACTTATTAGATCGTAGATACCCTCGGAATTCAATGGTTATTATTATCTATTTTTTCTATGTAGCTAGGTACATTATACCATAATTTGATTATACATAACTCTATAACTGTATAATCTGGGCGACTCTAGGGWGATGGGAGGTGTCAGAAACTCGGTCGGCATTTTATAACAATTCTTAAGAAGTATAATAGATAGGTAGTTAAAATATTTATTTTTAATTTTTTGTCCTTGAAATTACGATTTTCGTAAATCGACAAAAAATAATTATAGTTCTTATATAAAATAAATTACTATTATAACTACAGAGTACAGATTTCTATGCAATCGAGCATTTTTTTCCTTTTCAAATTTTTGAATTTTCATAAGTATTTTCACRAATCATAATAATTTGAATCTAATAGTGAAATTTGGTTTTGTATATCTAATGGTTACCTATTGCATATTTTTGCATATTTTTTACAAAATTCTAAACGTATATTGCATATTGAACCGAAAATTTTAAAAAAAATTGTATAAAATAAGATTTTGTAGGTACGGTATAAATTATAAAAATAATTATTTTGTTAGCATAAGTAATAAATTTAAGATGAATAATCGATTACGATAGAAGTTATTTTTTGTGTGTACCTAAAATTTTAAAAATATATTAAGTTGCTCGGAAAATCTCCCACATTTTTTTTTCGTTAAGTAATTAATTATT